TGGTTTGGCATTTAAAGCCTTTCACAATTTGGGCTCCAGCCCACTATTCATATTATCATCTTATTCATATAATATGATAAACATGAATGATATTCAGAATATATCATGAATAATACATAATTAGATATTATTGATAATTGTTCTATTATAATACATTATGACCTATATTATAATTAACAATACATTATGAATTATATGTTATGAAATATTATTCATATATTTCATGTTATTGCTATTCACCCAAGCTATTTTCTAACCAAACTGGTTAACTTGGTGTTCCTTAAATTTAGCATTCTATCTTTTGCCTTAATGACTCTGCTCAGACTCATCTGAATGTCTAGAATACCCTCCCCTTACTTGCCTCTTGAAATCCTTTGTTTACCTCAAAGGCTCCACTCAGAGTTCACTTACTCACAAGGGACGTCTGGTCTGCCCTGATCTCTTTAGCTTTTTGTGCTTTCATTCTCTTCATATCATATTATATTTTACTTATTTATTTAAATAAGTAGGTTATAAACTCCTAGAGGGCAGGAACTGTTTTTCATCTTTGTCTTTGCATCCCTAGTATTGAGCTTTGCAACAGACTGCACTGAACACATCCTTATTAAATTGCATCTCACTTGACAGCTTCATAAGTAAGAAAGATTAAGTTATTTAGAATGATAGCTTTGGGGCAGTTCTAGAAATAAAGACAGAGAAGATGGTGCTGAAGACATAATGTCAGGAGTTTGAAAAGCCAAATCACCATTGAATCTTGTGATTTAAGAGTTACGAGACCTCAAAGTTAAAGGGTTTTAACCTGGAGTGCACCAGCTCCCAACGGCTCCATTGGTAGACTTCAAGGGGTCTATGAACTTGGATGGAAAAAATAACGCATTTGTTTCAACATAATTGGTTTCCTTTATAATCTTGTGTATCTTACTTTATGCATTTAAAGGTATTATTCTGAAAAGGGGTCCAGAAGCTTTATCAGACTGTCCAAGTTGCCCATGAAAGACTCATACCACTTCTAGAGGTCATCCTTAGGCAAAGATCTCAGGCCTGGGAAGAACCTCATAGGACATTTTTGTCCAATGCTTTCATTTTACAAGAAGCAGAAACTGAGGTTGGGAAGGATTCCATGATTCAACCAAAGTCACACAGATAGCGAATGGCAGAGTTGTATTTCGAATCCAGGTCTCATAACATAGATCCAGGGCTCTTTGTGGCACTCTGCTTTGGGAAGCATTCTGCTCAAATCCCTCCTGTGGCTCTCTATTACCTACCATGTAAAATCCAAATGCCTTCTATTTGACTTCAAGTCCTCTAAATCTCATGCCAACTTAACTTTGCACCTTTGTCTCATATTGCTCTCTTTGATGTCATCTATGCTATAGCTAAGACCTGAGGTTACCATTTTCTATTTTTACCCTATTTTTCCTTTTCCATCTCCTTTGCTCCTAATGTTTGCCTTGCCCCTCTAGACCTGTTGAATTCTTACCCATCCTTTCAAGCTCAATGTTAAGTGTTAGCTCCGGCAGGGAGTCTATTTCAATCCCACAAGTGAGTAGCAACCTTTCCTCCTACAACTTTCTCTGTTGATTTCACAGCACATTGTGTGCCCCTATAATATGTACTAGCATGTGCTACTTTGTAATACACAGTTGTGTACATACCACTTCCTCTCTACTAGGTTATAGAATTGGAGAATGCAGCATCTACGTTTTATTTAAACTTGGTACTTCTGCTAATTGTTAGCATAATGTCTTACTAGATAGATAGAAGGTAGATGTTTAACAGATGTTTGTCTGTCATTTCCCTTGGCACCTTCCTTGTTCCTGTATTCCTACTGAAGCCTGTTGTATAGCATGTGTGCCCTGGCTCATCAATACTTCTGCTAACAGAAAGAGGCAGGCATCTGCTCATTCTGATGTTCATCTGTTAGGCAGCAAAGAAGGATATAATCATTGTCACCTGATGATGGGGAACTTCCCAATGCTGAACTGACCCTCTTGTTATAAAGAGAGAGAGAAGGAATAAGCATTAAATAGTACCTACTATGTGCTAGGCACTGTGCTAAGTGCTTTACAAATACTATATCATTTGTTCTTCAAAACAACTCTGGGAAGTAGGTGCTGTTATTATTCCAATTTTACATTTGAAGAAACTGAGGCAGAGTTAAGTGACTTGCCCAGGTCTAGTAAATGTCTGAGGCCATATTTGAACACCAGTCTTCCTGATATCAGGCCCAGCACTCTATCTGTTATACCACCTAGCTGCTTTCAAATGAACAGGGGTGCATTGGAGCCAGCTCTAATTGGCTCATGAACTGATTGTTAATTTTTCAGGGTGAGCAAAATGCTCAGCTTAGAAATCCTCAGTGTTATAAATCAAGCCTTGATCTATTGTTTTGTTGCTTTTCTAGACTTAAGAAACTACTAACAATGCTGAGAACAATATATGTGTATACATTTTCCCCCCAGAGACTTTACCAGCACACACTTGTATTACTCTATAAACCTTGCTTGAGCTCAGCAGGAGTTTACTAGAAGGTTCAGGGAATGAAGTAATCATCTGACTGGAGATATGGTGACTGTAAACTAATAATGATAATAATAATAATAATAACAATAATGATAATAAGCATCTATATAGTGCTTTAAGGTTTGCAAAGTTCTTTATATCCATTCTGTCATTTGAGGCTCACAACAGTCCTGCAAATAGGCCTTGTACATGTTGAGTTCTGATCCTTCTCCTGATGGGAGACAGATGGTAGATCTTCAGGAAATGATTCATGTCTCAGTTGGTCCATTTTACCTTTCCCTTTGCTTGTGTGAGTGTTGAGGGTGAACGGTTTGGGGTGGGGAGGAGGGTTACGTAGTTACTATTTGTACTTTGTTCTGTAACCCCTTCCAGAACTGGACTGCCAATTGTGATACGTGGTCAGAAACTTTGTGCCAGAAACCAACAAAGACATTCCATCTCTTCTGAAAAATGCTTTACCCTCCATGAGTCAGAGGGCAGTTTAAAGTAAAAAATCAGATAACAGAATCTGCAGGAATGATGCCAGGATGGCAGCACATCTGTAATAAAGTCCATATCCACTTGGTAGCAAGGATGTGTTAAGACGGCTAGTAACTTTCAGAATCCGTCTCCACAGCTTCTCTTAGAGCATCTTGCACAGTGTCCCCCACATAGTAAGCATGTCAAAATGCTTATTCATTCATTTCATTCATTCATTTATCTTAATTCATTCATTCATTCATTCTTGCTTTTCTGGCAACTGTCAAACCCCTAAGACAGGTCACAGGATTTAGGAGAGATATAAATTTTCCATGTTGTTTATTAACACTGACCTCATTTATAGTAGTATTGCTGATCTCTCCATTTTAGTTCTTCTGGGTATAAACATAACTGATAAAAAGTGGCACACAACAAAGGTAGAACTTGATTTATGTGCTCATTAATTTTGTTCAAATGTAAGATATTTCAGGAAGTCACCTCACTCACCTATTTAAATAAGTACCAAAGTTTCATTGGATACCTGTAAAATTCCTGCAGAGGCTAAGTTTTTTTTTCTTTTTTTGCAGGGGAGCAGGGTGGGCATTTGATGACAAAGCATAGGGAATGTCTGGTGTAGAAGCTTCTCCTACCAAGGAAAGTCAGTAGATCTATAACTAGGAATTTTTGTATTTGGGAAAAACACCTCAAACCTTACCTGGGGTAAGCAGCATGGAAGGCATCATAGTTCTATGGAGTGGGTAGTGTACATCACCACATGTGAAGGAGACAGTCTCCACCCCAGTGTACCACAAGGCACTGCTGAAGAGGCTGCCTACTCTCCCAAGGAAGAGAGGATTTGTTGATAGCTTCCTACTTAAACTGACCTCAGCAGCTAATTATCAAAAATAATTAGTTATTTCTTCATACTTGCCATCTAAGAAACTTTATTACTGGTGGTGGTAGAGGTAACCTTTATAGCAAATAAAGATCCTTTTGGGGAAAGAGTTGAAAAGTAGTTATGTAAATGAAAGAATGAGAAGGGGAAAAATTAGAAGTAGAAAAACTAATTAGGAAGTGTGTGTGTGTGTGTGTGTGTGTGTGTGTGTGAGTGAGAGAGAGAGAGAGAGACACAGACAGACACAGAGAGAAAGACACAGAGAGAGAGAGACAGAGACACTCAGCCAAGAGACGTCTCAGGGAAGATGAGGAGATAGAATCAAAACATGAAAATAGAGGTTAGCCTTGTAAGGAGAAGGCCCATTCTTAGGGAAAGGAATAAATGAATAACAGGTGAAGATAAGGAAAAAATTTGAGGTGTTAAATAGTGGAAAAGAGGAAACTCATGACAAATTGATTTTTTTTTTTTTAGCATAAGTACTCTTTCCATTAGTCCCAGAGAGACGGCCATTGCCAAGGGTAGAATTCTTTATACACAGGGTGGCATTGTGTGTAGAGTATTGGACTTGGAGTCAGAAACACCTAGGTTCAAATCCCACCTCTGAAATTCACCTGTGGTGTGACCATGGACAAGTCACTTAACCTCTCTGAGCCTCAGTTTCCTCATTTGTAAAATGGGGACAATACTTGTACCTACTTCATAGGGTTGTTGTGAGAATTGAATGAAGATTACAATGTATATAAAGGGCTTCACAATATTCAGAGTGCTAGATAAATGTCAGTTATTATTACTACTACTAATAATAAAGAAAAATCTACAAAGCATACCATATACCAAGCATAAGGGCTGAGACAGGATGTAAGTTATGATCTAGTGGCTTCAATGATACCAGGCAGTCCTAAAGAGTCTAGGTCATGAATTTGCCTCACAATCACTTGGGTATTTGCATTCCTATGGCATTTAAAAAAACATTCATCTAGCCAATAGGATTACAGCACACAGGGACCCAAATTACCTGTATATGAGTGATTTCTGATGTCACAATGGGGCCTGGCAGTACTACCTTAGTCAAGGCTGTCCAGAAACCAAACCATAAGTTCAAGGGGATCTGCAAAGAAGGATGTGGAAGAAAGAAAGAAAGAGAAGCCATCATCAGCCTAAGATCAAAGCAGCTGAAGGCGTTTCTGGTACAGGACAATATGTGGAGCTGAATTCAGGTCAGGATCCTTCAGCACCCAAATCCATTCAAGTCACAGAACTCTGGAGTAACGTAGTATTTGAAGAAATCAGCCATCGGGTAAAAGAGGTGGGCAGCCAACTGGTCAAGAAGGTCAATGCTATATTTCAGTTGGATATTACTGAAGATGGAAAGATCATTGTCCAGTGGACTGTCGACTTGAAGAATGGATCTGGAGAAGTATACTCAGGATCAGCAAGGAGCCCACCTGATACCGTGTTTACTATTCCAGACCATATTTTTATGGAACTGGTGCTGGGGAAAACCAATCCTCAAAGGGCTTTCTTTGCTGGCAAGCTGAAAGTGAGTGGCAAGGTGATGCTGGGACAGAAGCTGGAAAAGATTTTCAAAGACTGTGCTAAATTCTAAAAGAGGAAAAAAGACCAAGGAGTGATCAAGACCATCTCTTAATTTCCTAGCTGCACAGAAATAGTGCTCGAACTGAAGATTAAAAAAAAAAATCCAATATTTTTGCTCAAATTCTTCCTATTCGAGTTTTGATCTGCTGATGTGTAATTTGCCACGGGTGTGTATTCCTAGTGCAGTAAACTGTCTTGGAGTGAATGGCCTTAAATCTTGGTCTCTTTTTCCTTTCCTCTGTCACAAGTAAATTTTTCTCAGTGGCATAAAATTGGACAATATGGAAATTTGTATGTTTTTTTTAAAACATACATTTTTTATAAAAAAAATAGACATTTTTTATGGAAGTGGCTAATAATAATACAAATTAATATTCTAATTATTTCCTGAAATTTTGTACTTAAACTTTTTTTTTTTTAGAAAAGTCTGATCTTTTGTAAGAAAGAAGTCTTAGAAAAATTGGTGAATGCCTGGGTTTGACTCAGTAATTTATGGTCCTATCAGAGGCAGTTTAAAGCTAAAGAGGTTTCCCCAAAATTCATATTAGCATGTGAGAAGGGGGAAATGATAACTCTTTAAAACATGACAAATTAGGGCCTAGTTAATGCAGATTCCAAAGGAGACAAGTTTACAACCAGGAGGAAATTTAGGCAGTAGGGAATCATTTAATCATGGCTTCATGGTTTAGAAGGGCTATTTTGGAGTAAAGTTTTTGGTCAAGAAAGTCCCCTTGCCTTCAGTAATAACTTCATTTAAACTACTCTTAACAGATGAGAAAACTATATTCCATTTTTGAAAACTTCCAAACAGGTTCCATAGGTTGTGTTTCAACCCTGTCAGCAATTATTTTTATATCTGATATGATACCTAGAAACCCCTCCCCCTACCATGCCTTAGTTCTTGCTTGTGAAGATTGGGAATAATTTGCCACCTTCTGAGGAATCACTTTAGGTTTCAATATATGAGTATGAATAGTGATGGATTTACCCTATTAGAAACCCAGAAGTGACCTCTGGGGTCAATATGCATGAATCTCTATCTGTAGAGAACATATAACAAACATGTATGTGTGTTCTGTACCATGTACATGAACATACGCACATCATGATTCTACTGCTCAGGTTGCATTAATACTCCTACTGTACAGGGATTCCTCAGCCTTCTCTTACCCAGGCAGAATAAACCCAGTGCCCCATAACCTTTAAAATCTCTTGGCTCTTGTTTTCCAATCCCTTCCTGCTTGAAAGTGTTCATCCTTTGAACCTTCCCTTAAATTCTCAATCTGAATAAATAAGTTCACATTTCCTTAGAAAAAGACATTATGTACTAGTCTAAACTGGTCAAACTATTAAAATACCATCTCATCTGTGAAATGAAGAGACCATACTTTGAGAGTGCTCAGGTAAGATGGAAATAATAGACTGGACAGAACTGAGAAAATGCTAGAGCAAATCTAGGATGACAGGTACAGGCAGGTACAGTCATACCTCGGAGATACTGTGGGTTCCATTCCAGACCACCACAATAAAGCTAATATCACAATGAAGCAAGTCACACAAATTTTTTGTTTTCTAGTGCTTGTAAAAGTTATGTTTATACTGTAATCTATTAAGTGTGCAATAGTATTATGTCTAAAAAAGTATATAACTTAATTAAAAAACACTTTATTGCTAAAAAATGCTAACCATCACCTGAGCCTTCAGTGAGTTGTAATCTTTTTGCCAGTTGAGGTTCTTGCCTCGATATTGACAGCTGCTGACTGATCAGAGTGGTGGTTGCCTAAGGTTGGGGTGGCTAAGGCAATTTCTTAAAATAAGACAACAACGAAGTTTGCTGCATCAATTAACTTTTCCCTTCACTTGAACACTGAGAAACCATCATAGCCTAATTTCATTATTGTTATGTCTCAGAGAACAGGGAGGCTCAAGGAGAAGGAGAGAGATGGGGAATGGTCAGTGGAGCAGTCAGAACACATGTATTTATCAATTAAATGTGCTCATCTTACGCGGTTGTGGTTCGTGGTCCCTCAAAACAATTACAATCACTGATCACATATCACCACAACAGATAAAATAATAATATCTTGAAAATTATCAAATTATGACACAGACATGATGAGGACATGTGCTGTCAGAAAAATGGCATCAATAGACTTGCTCAACACAAGGTTGTCACAAACCTTTTGTTTAAAAAAATGCAATATCAGCAAAGTGTAATAAAGTGCAATATGCCTGTATATAAGTACATACTGTAGAGTGTCAAAGACTCCCCAGTATACCTCTGTAAAGCAAGAATATGAAAGATCCTCTAGCCTCAGGGCTCAGCTTTGCACCTGAAGGCATACTGGTGTCTGAGATGTTCTAGAATTTCTTAAGGGCCAGGGTGAGAGGCTGGGAGATTAGAGCACCATTGAGAGTATTTACCTCAGATCAACTACGTGTCTGAGAACCCCGGTGAAAAAAGGGCATACATAACCTGTGAAATGAAGAGACAAAGAGATGATTGGTCCCGAGCAGGGTGAAATGGGATAATCAATCTGCGGAATTTTATGGGCTGTCGTCTAGGAAATGAGGTTACCTCATAACCAGGGTGGGGCTGCCCCCAAGGACAATGAGTCATTTGCCTGCTGGCTTCTGTGGGTAGTTGTACTTTTCAACATGACCAAAAAGAGTTGGCTTCTCCACTCATCTGTGACTTTCTTTATAGTCCTATTTATTCAAATCTCCCTCACATTTACAGGGACATGTCCAGTGAAAAATGTTAACTCCTCTGTGCTTCCATGCAATGTGGGAGGCAGTGCAGCTCAGTGGAGGTGGCATTGAACTTGGAGTCCTTGGACATCAGCTTGAATCCCAAATCTAAATCACTTCTCTGAGCCTCAGTTTCCTCATCTGTAATATCAGAAGACTGGATTAAATGACCCTAAGATCACTTCTACATCTAGATCTATGATCCTAGGATTCTATAAACAAATCTTCATTGGAAGAGGAGTCTTTTTTTTTTTAATTACATCCTTGACAAGGCATAGGCGTTCTAGGCAGTAGTCATGACCAAAAAACCAGAAGCCCAGGCTGAGATGGATAATGCACAGTGGGATGTGTCCCTAGACTTTGGGAAATGGTGGATGGCTTATGGTGTGGTACTTACACTTTAAGAGGCTTTGAAAAAGTAGCTGCACGTTTCTCTTCACCCTGAATTTAGGAGTCAATGTTGCAGAACTGCATGGTTCCAGTTACTGATAAAGAACCTTACACTTGTCAAAGGTAATGAATAGAATAGCCCTGTAAGCAGTTTTCAGACCAGACTTTGGGAATGTGAGGCCATCTAGTCCAGCTCTCATTTCATAGATGAGGAAATTGAGGTACATGGAGATGAACTGAATTGCCCAAATGTCAAAAAGGTAGTTGAAATGGGAAAGCTGGGACTCAAGGACACGTGCTATCTCTACTTAACTACACTGTCTCCCGTTGCATCGAGGGAGCAGAATGGCACACTAACATTTTCCACTGGGCATATTCTTGTAAATGTAAGAGAGGTCAGAAGGAAACACTATAATGAAAATTATGGTTCAGTTGGGGAAGTCAACTCTGTTTGGCCATGTTGAAAAGTGCAGCTAGCCCCAGAAGCCAGCAGGCAAATGACTCATTGCCCTTGGGGACAGCGTTACCCTGGTTATAAAGTAACTTGGCTTCTTGGGTGAGAGCCCATAAACCATGGTCACACAATAATAGGCATTTATTAAACACCTAGTTTATAACAGGCATTGTGCTAGGTGCTAGGACACAAAGATAAAAAGGAAGACAGTCATTTCCCTTCAAGAAGTTTCCAGTCAATCAAGAGACAAGGTGTGAATAAATAAATATGTCAAAACATATGCAAAATAAATTGGTAGAGGCATAGTGGGTAGAGAGCTGGCCTCTGACTCAGGAAGACATGGGCTCAAGTCCTTCTGCCTCTGACATATACTGGCTGTGGGACTCGGCAAATCCCTTAACTTCTCATTGTTCTAGGCAACTCTTTAAGAATATGAGTTTCTTTTCTTTTTGGAGGCAATGGGGTTAAGTGACTTGCCCAGGATCACACAGCTAGTAAAAGTCTGAGGCCAGATTTGAACTTGGGTCCTCCTGACTCCAAGGCCCAGCCTCTGACCACTGCACCACCTAGTTGCCCAAGAACATACGTTTCATAGAAGGTTGGCACTTGTATTAGTAGAGGAGTTTCATCAGCAAGGAATTCTCTATACTAGTGAAATCATAGGTCCAGTCCCCTATTTCTACCCCTAAATATAGGGTAATTTGGGGAGAGAGGGTACTAGGAGCACCAAGAGAGGCTTCATGTAGAAGGTGGTACATGAGCTGTCTTGGACAAAAACAGGGATCTGGAGAAGCTGAGTGAGAAGGGACAACTTCAGGTTTGGGGAACAGTTGGTGCAAATGCAGAGATAAAATAGAGTATTGTACATAAGAAACAGCAAGAAGACCTGTTTTGTTGGGCCCTAGGAGAGTGCTCATTGGGGTTGTTGTTGCATGGTCGTTTTTCAGTTGTTTTTGACTCTTTGTGACCCCATTTGGGGTTTTTTTTTTGGCAGAGATACTGGAGTGGTTTGCCATTTCCTTCTATAGCTCATTTTACAGATGAGGAAACTGAGGCAAACAGGGTTAAGTGACTTACGCAGGGTCACACAGTTAATAAGTGTCTGAGGTGGGATTTGAACTCAGGAAGATGAGTCTTCCTAACTCCGGGCCTGGAGCTCTCTGCATTATGGCACCACCTAGCTGCTTTCTTGTAGGGGAGTAATGTGCAATAAGGCTGAAAAGGTAGGTTGGGTCCACCTATTAAAGGACATTCAATTGCAAACAGAGTGGAATGACTCAGTTAATCTTGTGCTTTGGGAAAATCATGTATCAGCTCTGTGGACTGGATAGGGAAGACACTTGAGGAAAGGAAATCAACAAGAGGCTACTATAATAGAACATCCAAAAATTATGAGAACCTTCCCTAGGGTGGTG